TCACAGGATGGGTATGGGGCTCCTCTGTCACTCACAGGATGGGTATGGGGGTTCCTCGGCCACTCACAGGATGGGTATGGGGGTTCCTCGGCCACTCACAGGAGGGTAGGGGGGTTCCTCGGCCACTAACAGGATGGGTATGGGGACTCATCTGCCACTCACAGGATGGGTATGGGGGTTCCTCTGCCACTCACAGGATGGGTATGGGGCTCCTCTGTCACTCACAGGATGGGTATGGGGGTTCCTCTGCCACTCACAGGATGGGTATGGGGGTTCCTCGGCCACTCACAGGATGGGTATGGGGACTCATCTGCCACTCACAGGATGGGTATGGGGGTTCCTCTGCCACTCACAGGATGGGTATGGGGCTCCTCTGTCACTCACAGGATGGGTATGCGGGTTCCTCTGCCACTCACAGGATGGGTATGGGGGTTCCTCGGCCACTCACAGGATGGGTATGGGGGTTCCTCGGCCATTCACAGGATGGGTATGGGGGGTTCCTCGGCCACTCACAGGATGGGTATGGGGGGGTTCCTCTGTCACTCACAGGATGGGTATGGGGGGTTCCTCGGCCACTCACAGGATGGGTATGGGGAGTTCCTCGGCCACTCACAGGATGGGTATGGGGGGTTCCTCGGCCACTCACAGGATGGGTATGGGGGGTTCCTCTGCCACTCACAGGATGGGTATGGGGGGTTCCTCTGTCACTCACAGGATGGGTATGGGGGGTTCCTCTGTCACTCACAGGATGGGTATGGGGGGTTCCTCTGTCACTCACAGGATGGGTATGGGGGGTTCCTCTGTCACTCACAGGATGGGTATGGGGGGGTTCCTCGGCCACTCACAGGATGGGTATGGGGGTTCCACTGCCACTCACAGGATGGGTATGGAGGTTCCACTGCCACTCACAGGATGGGTATTAAGGACCCACAACAGTAGGCTTTAAATACCTCTGTGGAGCATTCCCCACTTCGGGTCGCAGCCTCCAGGCAACGGTCGAGATGAGGATGATAGTGATATGCTGCACCTGCGTCTCTCTCCCTCTCTCTCTCACCTGCGTCTCCCTCTCCCTCCCTCTCTCCCATCTGCCCCTCCCAGGCATTGACGTCTCTTCTGGTGTTACTTCTGTGTAACACCTCTTGTCTCTCTCTCTCTCTCTCTCTCTCTCTCTCTCTCTCTCTCTCTCTCTCTCTCTCTCTCTCTCTCTCTCCTTCATCTTTCAACATCATTTCTCAGCATCTTTCATTTCTTCTCATCGTTTATCTCTATCTCCTCATCCGTGGTTGACTTAAACAACTTCTTCAGTGACCTAGGCACGTGTATTTGTGTCAAAGAAAACGGTGTAACTAGCGTGACAAGATTGTCACTTCAATGGACTATGGGATTCAGTTGCTGAACTTGTACTGTACCTCTGGAGCGGTCAGGAATATATGGAGTCGATTCCAACTCGCTTCCTCAGGAAGTCCGCTGATGTTTGAGACTTGTGGGGCACCAGAAATCTACCGGGATCACTCGGTGGCTCTGGCCCACAGTTCTCTAGCATAACACACCGTATTTTGACGTCAAAAATCCTCCCATAAGTCATAAAAAGATGTATTGAAACAAGAATCATATCGGTTCGCCAAATGACGCGGGTGTCTCGTTTTCTATTTGTGGGTCTTTGGTTAAAGGTTCGGGCAATTTAGTACGTCATTTTAGTGACGTTGTGAGAGGTGGTGGGGAACTCCACACTCGCCTGGCTTTATCCTCCTGGCCGCGGCGTTGACCAACAAACCAACCAAGTCATATGACAAATATTTTTTTATTGCTGAGTGCACCTGCCAAGGTCTAGCTCTAGCCTATGGCGGAAATCATGAGTATAAAATTTTGATGCTTTTCCCCCCAAAAAACAGTTGCTTTTAAGGGTAAAGTTTTTCATCCTCGATGTTGGTGTGTGTGTGTGTGGGGGGGGGGGGGGTGGGGGGTGGGGACGGGGGTGGTGTTTTTGTGTGTGGGTGTGTGTGTGTGTGTGTGTGTGTGTGTGTGTGTGTGTGTGTGTGTGTGTGTGTACTCACACCTAGTTGTGTCTGCAGGATCGAGCATTGACTCTTGGATACTGCCTTTCGAGCATCGGTTGTTTACAGCAATTACTCCTGTCCCATTTCCCTATCATACCTGGTTTTAAAATTATGAATAGTATTTGCTTCCACAACCTGTTCCTGAAGTGCATTCCATTTTCCCACTACTCTCACGCTAAAAGAAAACTTCCTAACATCTCTGTGACTCATCTGAGTTTCAAGCTTCCATCCATGTCCCCTCGTTCTGTTACTATTCCGTGTGAACATTTCGTCTATGTCCACTCTGTCAATCCCTCTGAGTATCTTATACGTTCCTATCATGTCCCCCCTCTCCCTTCTTCTTTCTAGTGTCGTAAGGCACAGTGTGTGTGTGTGTGTCGTAAGGCACAATGTGTGTGTGTGTGTGTGTGTGTGTGTGTGTGTGTGTGTGTGTGTGTGTGTGTGTGTGTGTGTGTGTGTGTGTGTGTGTGTGTGTGTGTGTGTGTGTGTGTGTGTATTCACCTAGTTGTGTTTGCGGGGGTTGAGCTTTGCTCTTTCGGCCCGCCTCTCAACTGTCAATCAACTGTTTACTAACTACATTTTTTTCCCACACCACACACACACACCAGGAAGCCGGCCGTGACAGCTGACTAACTCCCAGGTACCTATTTACTGCTAGGTAACAGGGGCATTCAGGGTGAAAGAAACTTTGCCCATTTGTTTCTGCCTCGTGCGGGAACCTAACCCGCGCCACAGAATTACGAGTCCTGCGCGCTATCCACGAGGCTACGAGGCCCCCCTGTGTGTGTGTGTGTATGTGTGTGTGTGTGTGTGTGTGTATTGTATCATCGTACTCTGGCAACACCCCCCCCCAACCCACCCATTGACCATAACCTGAGGGCAGCAGCGGGGGGCTCACAGGTGCCCGGGCACGATAACACAACAATACCCCCACATCAACACAACACTACCCCCCCCCACATCAACAGGACCCCATCAAAATCCCCCCCTCCCCCTCCCCCCTCCCTTCGCAAAGTTGTCTGACTCACGGGGCGCCTTACACCAGTCTTCTGACTCCAACGACCAATTAGCTGAAAACCTCACGAATTTGACGCATTCGCTCTACGCATACATTGTTGTGTGAGGTTAAAAAGGGGTGGGGGGGGGGGGGGGGGGTGGTTGGGGGGGGTAGAGAAAGTTAAGATGCCAGCGCTATCGTGGACAGGTGAGGTATTTTTGAAGACATGAGGAGGGGGGGGGAATTGAGGGGGGGGGGATTGAAGGGGGGGGGGAAGGGGGACTGGGGGGGGGAGGGGGGAGCAGTCTGTGAGGGATTGTCGCTCTACGTATTTTTTTATATATCACATTTCTCCTTTGTCTTCCTGTTGTTTCATAATGCTACGTTCCGTTGTGACGGGCAGTTGTAAAGGTGTCTTATTAATCGCTCAATGCCAGAGGCGCTACACTTCATTCATTACTAAGGCAAGTAACGCCCTTAACGCCCTTAATCACGTCTCACTTACACATGCACACACGCGCACGCGCGCGCACACACACACACACACACACAGGGCCTGGTAGCCTGGTGGATAGCGCGCAGGACTCGTAATTTTGTGGCGCGGGTTCGATTCCCGCACCAGGCAGAAACAAATAGGCAAAGTTTCTTTCACTCTGAATACCCCTGTTACCTAGCAGTAAATAGGTACCTAGGAGTTAGTCAGCTGTCACGGGCTGCTTCCTGGTGTGTGTGTGTGTGTGTGTGTGTGTGTGTGATGTGGAAAAAAAGTAGTTAGTAAACAGTTGATTGACAGTTGAGAGGCGGGCCGAAAGAGCAAAGCTCAACCCCCGCAAACACAACTAGGTGAATAAAACTAGGTGAATACACACACACACACACACACACACACACACACACACACTCTATTCATACTTTTAAAATTAGGTATGATAGGGAAATGAGATAGGAGTCATTGCTGTAAACAACCAATGGCTGGAAAGGCGGGATCCAAGAGTCAATGCTCGATCCTGCAAGCACAAATAGGTGAGTACACACTTGTATATCACATATGTAAGACCAATCCTGGAGTATGCGGCCCCAGCATGCAGCCCGTACCTTGTCAAGCACAAGACGAAGCTGGAAAAAGTTCAGAGGTTTGCCACTAGGCTAGTCCCAGAACTAAGAGGCATGAGTTACGAGGAAAGGCTGCGGGAAATGCACCTTACGACACTGGAAGACAAGAGTAAGGGGAGACATGATCACAACCTACAACATTCTCAGGGGAATAGATCGGGCAAACAAGGATAAACTATTCAACACTGGTGGGACGCGAACAAGGGGACACAGGTGGAAACTGAGTACCCACATGAGCCACAGGGACGTCAGAAAGAACTTTTTCAGTGTCAGAGTAGTTAACGGATGGAATGCATTAGGCAGTGATGTGGTGGAGGCTGACTCCATACACAGTTTCAAATGTAGATATGATAGAGCCCAGTAGGCTCAGGAATCTGTACACCAGTTGATTGACAGTTGAGAGAGCCAGAGCTCATTGGTCTCGTCTCTCATCTGTCAATCAGGCAAAGGACGAAGCCAGGAGTAGGGCGAGGCGGGCAAGGAAGGACGAGACAGGGCGAGGCAGGCCAGGAGCTAGCAGGGCGAGGCATTCCAGGAGCTAGCAGGGCGAGGCATTCCAGGAGCTAGCAGGGCGAGGCAGGCCAGGAGCTAGCAGGGCGAGGCAGGCCAGGAGCTAGCAGGGCGAGGCAGGCCAGGAGCTAGCAGGGCGAGGCAGGCCAGGAGCTAGCAGGGCGAGGCAGGCCAGGAGCTAGCAGGGCGAGGCAGGCCAGGAGCTAGCAGGGCGAGGCAGGCCAGGAGCTAGCAGGGCGAGGCAGGCCAGGAGCTAGCAGGGCGAGGCAGGCCAGGAGCTAGCAGGGCGAGGCAGGAGAGAGAGAGAGAGCGCGGGCCAGCGCGGGCCAGCTACCCAGAATGCCCCGGCGGGTACCAGGGGCAGAAGTGCACAGTTTCACCCGGCCTGGACACTGGGTGCATGTTAGCCTTGTGTCCCCTTCACCGTTCCCTTCACCGTCCCACGGTGTAACTGTGCAGTGTAGTAAGAGTACAGTGTTAATGGTAAGGTGATACAGCAACAATGGTGAAGTAGTACAGAAAATACAGTGTGAGTGGTACATCATTACTGTGAGAGTTGTACAGTGTCAGAGGCAGATTGACGGTGGTACAGTAATACAGTGACGGTGGTGCAATAATACAGTGACAGTGGTACAGTAATACAGTGACGGTGGTACAGTAATACAGTGACAGTGGTACAGTAATACAGTGAAGATGATACAGTAATACAGTGACGGTGGTACAGTAATACAGTGACGGTGATACAGCAATACAGTGACGGTGGTACAGTAATACAGTGAAGATGATACAGTAATACAGTGACGGTGGTACAGTAATACAGTGACGGTGATACAGTAATACAGTGACGGTGATACAGTAATACAGTGATAGAGGTACAGTAATACAGTGACGGTGATACAGTAATGCAGTGATAGAGGTACAGTAATACAGTGACGGTGGTACAGTTATACAGTGACGGTGATACAGTAATATAGTGATAGTGGTACAGTAATACAGTGAAGGTGGTACAGTAATACAGTGAAGGTGGTACAGTAATACAGTGATAGAGGTACAGGAATACAGTGATAGTGGTACAGTATACAGTGACAGTGGTACAGTAATACAGTGATAGAGGTACAGTAATACAGTGATAGAGGTACAGTAATACAGTGATAGAGGTACACTAATACAGTGACGGTGGTGCAGTAATACAGTGAAGGTGGTACAGTAGTACAGTGACGGTGGTACAGTAATACAGTGAAGATGATACACTAATACAGTGACGGTGGTGCAGTAATACAGTGAAGGTGGTACAGTAGTACAGTGAAGGTGGTACAGTAATACAGTGAAGGTGGTACAGTAATACAGTGATAGAGGTTCAGTAATACAGTGACAGTGTTACAGTAATACAGTGACGGTGGTACAGTAATACAGTGAAGGTGGTACAGTAATACAGTGATAGAGGTACAGTAGACCCTGTGTAAAGTAGAGGTGCCATAGATCCTGTGTAGAGTAGAGGTGCCATAGATCCTGTGTAGAGTAGAGGTGCCATAGATCCTGTGTAGAGTAGATGTGCCATAGATCCTGTGTAGAGCAGAGGTGCCATAGACCCTGTATAGAGTAGAGTAGAGGTCCATAGACCCTGCGTAGAGTAGAGGTGCCATAGACCCTGTATAGAGTAGAGTAGAGGTGCCATAGACCCTGTGTAGAGTAGAGTAGAGGTGCCATAAACTCTTTGTAGAGTAGAGGTCTAAACAACCAAGAGTGGTTCTAAGATATGGCTCACTTGAAATTATGTTTGAAACTAAAAAAGAAATAAGCGCGGAAAATGATATATTTAAGCGAGGATGTTATTAATTAAGTTAGCGCCAACGAGCAGTGTCCAGAGAATGAGTGAATCCAATATTTTTTGTTACAGTGAGAAATATATATATATAAACATTAGCATTGGGGCTGCGGCCAGCTCAAGCAACAGGAGTCGCCACAGCCCACAGCCGCTGACACTTCCCACAGCAGCTGACACTACCCACACAGCCCACAGCCGCTGACACTACCACCACAGCAGCTGACACTACCCCCACAGCAGCTGACACTACCCACACAGCCCACAGCAGCATGATAAGCTCCCCACACTAACCAGCGACAGGAAAAACTCTCTCTCAAAGAAACGCCATGCGTCGAGCGGCCCCCGCCAACGTACCGGCGCTGACATGGGCGGTGGTGGTGTGGGCGTTGGCGGGCGTGTGCGACGCCGGCGTGGGCGTGTGGATGGACGACGGCAACGGGCGGACGATTCTAGCCGACAACCTGGGCTCGGAGGAGGCGGCGGAGCTGGCTAGGGACATCCTGGACGTCCTAGACCTGCCAGCGCCCCCGCACATCTTGGGCCGCCACCACCACCACCACACTCGCGTCCACCACGCCCACGGCTCGGCGCCCACGTGGCTCAAGAGCGTGTACGACAACCTGGACGAGCACGGACACGCCAGCTCCGCCCACATGGACGCGACACACAGGGAGACGGTGACCGCAGCAGACACCATCATTACCTTTGTCAGCAGAGGTGAGAGAGAGCGAGGTGTCCTATGTGATAAACTGATACCAAATAATGAATTATAATGACAATAATTATGTTATCATTACATACATCATCAAAATTGCATAATAATACCAATTATCATTTACTGGTTAATTCTACATTATTTGTTATTGCAATGTATTTAAATACACTCCTACATCAACTTCACAGCTAATAGTATGTAACAAATGTATATTTCATAGTTCCTAGTTAGTAACCGTTACCTCCCGACAGCTTATGTGTCTCCAACGTATAACAACTGACTTATTTATTCCCCAAAACTTTTCTTTTGTGGCCTAGAGTCATATCTTGAAGCCTGTTTACAAGACAGATTCAGGGCTGAGCAAAACTGCAAAAGCTCTCTTTGAAGGTGACAATAAATACCATATGTCTTCCCTCTGGCTCGCTCTCCTTGCTTCCCTGCAAGAGGATTGGAATAGAATCAAGACGTTGGTGGACGTCTTGTAGTATGAGGGGTGTGGTGGCTGGGAGGTCATAGGAGACTTCAGAATGGAGGCATCTTCCCTGCAAGAGGATTGGAATAGAATCAAGACGTTGGTGGACGTCTTGTAGTATGAGGGGTGTGGTGGCTGGGAGGTCATAGGAGACTTCAGAATGGTGGCATCTTCCCTGCAAGAGGATTGGAATAGAATCAAGACGTTGGTGGACGTCTTGTAGTATGAGGGGTGTGGTGGCTGGGAGGTCATAGGAGACTTCAGAATGGTGGCATCTTCCCTGCAAGAGGATTGGAATAGAATCAAGACGTTGGTGGACGTCTTGTAGTATGAGGGGTGTGGTGGCTGGGAGGTCATAGGAGACTTCAGAATGGTGGCATCTTCCCTGCAACAGGATTGGAATAGAATCAAGACGTTGGTGGACGTCTTGTAGTATGAGGGGTGTGGTGGCTGGGAGTTCATAGGAGACTTCAGAATGGTGGCATCTTCCCTGCAACAGGATTGGAATAGAATCAAGACGTTGGTGGACGTCTTGTAGTATGAGGGGTGTGGTGGCTGGGAGGTCATAGGAGACTTCAGAATGGTGGCATTCCTGATGGCCCTCCAAATGGGGGTTTTACCCATTTTTTCCTGCTATATTTTCCTTTGGGACAGCAGGAAAATAGACGAAAATTCGCCATGCTCATTGAAAATAGGTAAATTCTAAAATATATTTATGAGTGTTCTGGTCGCAAAAGCAAAGTTTGAAATTAATAATTGGCGTTTTTTTACGCTTTGTAAGAATAATCGACACGGAAATGACATTTACGAACTACGAATAAAAATAGTGTTGAATTGTGTAATACACACGTAACCCCCCCCCCCCTCCCCCCTCCTCACTCCCCCCCGTCCTGTGATAACGCACTCACTCACACACTTACCGAGTTGAGGAGGCCACAGGGACAGTAAAAGATGATGGGAGATCAAACACTCAAGCCAGAATAGGGCAAGGACCCGGCAACACCCACCTAAGCCAGAGAACATCAGCGGCGTGTGCAAGGCTGGCGACTATTCCTCCTCGATCAGGAAGATTTCAGTATGCTGTAGACTACCTTCGTAAGACTGCTACTAGAATATTGTCTAGTATTAGTAGTATGCATCCATCAGTCTAATATCGTCTGAATATTTTGTCCCAATGGGGAATACGCACATCGATAATTGGGCAAAGTACAAATAGAGAAAATTGGAAAGTTTGCTGCCTTTCCCTAGAGGTGCCATAGATAGTTCCCTGATAGTTCCTCTCTCTTCTGATAGTTCCCTCCCTCCCCCAGAGAGTCCACCAGTTTGTACCACCAGTCTGTACCACCAGTTTGTACCACCAGTCTGTACCACCAGTTTGTACCACCAGTCTGTACCACCAGTTTGTACCACCAGTCTGTACCACCAGTCTGTACCACCAGTTTGTACCACCAGTCTGTACCACCAGTCTGTACCACCAGTCTGTACCACCAGTCTGTACCACCAGTCTGTACCACCAGTCTGTACCACCAGTCCCCAGAGACTGCATCAGTCTCTATCCCAGAGACTTGCACTCCTCACCATCCATCTTTTATCCTTGGGGGTTACAGAGGGGACGTCGTGTGTATGTGTGTGTGTACTCACCTATTTGTACTCACCTATTTGTGCTTGCGGGGGTTGAGCTTTGCTTCTTTGGTCCCGCCTCTCAACTGTGTGTAGCACAGCTGGGGAGTGAGTGAGACACAGCGAGCGAGGGGGGGGGGGTTATGTATGAATGCTACAAGCAGTTAAGGCGGCTAAAACAGGTGAGGCAGGTAGGAGACACAGAACATGCTGGCAGGAGTCAGGCTGGAGGCAGGTAGGAGAAGAGGGAGAGAGAGAGAGAGAGAGAGACAGAGAGAGAGAGAGAGAGAGAGAGACAGAGTGAGAGAGAGAGAGACAGAGAGAGAGAGAGAGACAGAGAGGCAGGTGAGAAGGCAAGAGTAGAGGCCATGGTTGAAGCTTTACACAAGTGACTCGCAATGTGACTACTAATGCCTCGCCTCGCCTCTCGCGGCTGGGAGACAAGGACTGGCGAGTCAGGGCTTGTGGGGTGTGGATGGCATTGAAAGCGACGTCGACGCATCTGCGTTGTTCTTATTGGTGACGCATTTTTCCCCCAGGGATATTCCTGCGCGGGCCACGAGCCTCTGGCTGGCCCCACTGAGTGTTACGTCAATCTTACTTAAGCGGTGGATGAGTATGACTGGAATGGTGGTTTCAGTGTGTCAAGGTGAACACCAAGACCTCTTAAGACTGGCCCCAGAGCTGAGAAGGTTGGAGTAAGACAAAGGTTGAACTCTTTGTCGACTTTGTTGAACTCAAAGGCTGAATGAATCTTACTACATTAGAGGAGATACGGGAAAGAAGAGAAATGATTGCGTCGTATAAGATCCTAAAGGCAATCGACAAAGTAAACAAGGACGAACTGATTAGCTTGGGTAACAGCACCACGCAAGGCCATGCATGGAAGCTAAACACACAGCTGGACCATACGGATGTAAATATATCTTTATTTTGGTAAAGAGAAGTGTTTAAATGGAATGAATTATACAAGGAAGCTAATACCATATATAAATTAGAATTTAGACATGATAACAATCTAGTACGTCTAGAAGAGCCATCGCATTAGCTGTCCGGCAGTTGAAATGGCGGGGCCCAAGAGCAGACGCCCGGTCCTGCACGCACAATGAGATAAAAACAATAAAGACCTATGGCGCAGCGATGAGCGCAGTCCTTTTACCAATCAAAAGTCCCCAGAATCGATTCCTGGCAGTTAGGCAACTGTTGTGGGGGGTGGCTTCTTGTTATAGGGCAGTTACAGGCCAGTTACAGACCTGGGGAAGTCTTGCTACAGGCCAGTTACAGACCTGGGGAAGTCTTGCTACAGGCCAGTTACAGACCTGGGGAAGTCTTGCTACAGGCCAGTTACAGGCCTGGGGAAGTCTTGCTACAGGCCAGTTACAGGCCTGGGGAAGTCTTGCTACAGGCCAGTTACAGGCCTGGGGAAGTCTTGCTACAGGCCAGTTACAGACCTGGGGAAGTCTTGCTACAGGCCAGTTACAGACCTGGGGAAGTCTTGCTACAGGCCAGTTACAGACCTGGGGAAGTCTTGCTACAGGCCAGTTACTGACCTGGGGAAGTCTTGCTACAGGCCAGTTACAGGCCTGGGGAAGTCTTGCTACAGGCCAGTTACAGACCTGGGGAAGTCTTGCTACAGGCCAGTTACAGGCCTGGGGAAGTCTTGCTACAGGCCAGTTACAGACCTGGGGAAGTCTTGCTACAGGCCAGTTACAGGCCTGGGGAAGTCTTGCTACAGGCCAGTTACAGACCTGGGGAAGTCTTGCTACAGGCCAGTTACAGGCCTGGGGAAGTCTTGCTACAGGCCAGTTACAGACCTGGGGAAGTCTTGCTACAGGCCAGTTACAGACCTGGGGAAGTCTTGCTACAGGCCAGTTACAGGCCTGGGGAAGTCTTGCTACAGGCCAGTTACAGACCTGGGGAAGTCTTGCTACAGGCCAGTTACAGGCCTGGGGAAGTCTTGCTTCAGGCCAGTTACAGGCCTGGGGAAGTCTTGCTACAGGCCAGTTACAGACCTGGGGAAGTCTTGCTACAGGCCAGTTACAGACCTGGGGAAGTCTTGCTACAGGCCAGGGGGAGACCTAGGTGAGCCAAGCAGGCTTCCCCTAATAGAGGGGAACCAGGTAACACCCTCGCCCCCCATCACACTGAAGGGAAACCACTTCCCACAATCGGCATAGGAAAATTAACATCCGGCAGTTGTAAACTCGGGGCCCGAGAGCCTGAACCGGACCCCTGCAAGTCCAAGTACATGAGTCAAAGTAGACGAGGACACACACACACAGACAGACACAGATGTTCTATGTCTCATGATAAACACCGTCAAATGGACTGTAAGTGGGTGATGACAGGCATAAGAAGGTTATACCTTCCTTACTCCTTGAGCTTCACCGCTCACTGTTATCTACCCCCCCCCCCCCCCCCCCCCCCCCTCTCTCTCTCTCTCTCTCTCTCTCTCTCTCTCTCTCTCTCTCTCTCTCTCTCTCTCTCTCTCTCTCTCTCTCTCTCTCTCTCTCTCTCTCTCTCTCTCTCTCTCTCTCTCTCTCTCTCTCTCTCTCTCTGTCTCTGTCTCTGTCTCTGTCTGTCTCTGTCTCTCTCGCTCTCTCTCTCTCTCTCTCTCTCTCTCTCTCTCTCTCTCTCTCTCTCTCTCTCTCTCTCTCTCTCTCTCTCTCTCTCTCTCTCTCTCTATCCACCCAACCACTTGGGATGGACGGTAGAGCGACATGCAGGTCGGCGTTCAATCCCGACCGTCCACGTGGTTGGGCACCATTCCTTCACTCTCTCTCCGTCCCATCCCAAAGCCTTATCTTGACCCCCTTCCAAGTACTATATAGTCGTAATGGCTTGGTGCTCTGTCCTGATAATTCCCTGCCCTCCTCTCTCCACCCCTATTAATTAATCTTCTCCAAGACAAACATTCACTTCGTAAACACAACACCAGATACCTCCGCCAGTCTCTGCTTTTTCCCCCTCGTAGTCATGGCAAAAAAAGATTATGATAAAAGATAACAACTCTTCTCTCAAGCAAGATTTAACTCTGCTAGTAAGATTTGACTCCACTAGCAAGAATTAACTCTCCACTACCATGACATAATTATCCACAATAAAACATATCTATCGACTTGTATGACTTAAATACCCGATAGAATACTTATTTATTCACTATCAAGGCTTACCTATCCACTAGAAAACATATCTATCCACTAGTCCAACGCAACTGTCCACTTGTTCTTAATAACTAACAGGTGAACTTACTCATTCAACTGGTAATACATTGTCGCCTTGTATAGATTTTCGGGCAAGTGGCCTGAAACTGGATCCCTGAAGGGTGTTTAGATCTCTGTTCGTGTTCACGTATTGTATTCTGATCTCCTTATGATAATTCTGCTGTTGTATTTATTGATATGATTCCCTGAATGTGTGTTATATTAGTACACTTTTATAACATTTAAATAATCTATTAACGTGTCACTGCACGTGTCACGTTAACGTGTCACGTGGAGATGTTATTGTATGATTGTATTACTGTGAAGGAACGCTGTGTCACTGCTCTTTTAGGTTTTGCTATAGTCGCGTCACTGATTCACTACCTTACACGATTACTTGCGTCACTGCTTCATAACACTGCATGGGGCGCCTGCGTCGCTATCACAACACTGCACCAGTACTTGCGTCGCTGCCTTACACGAGTACTTGCGTCATTTCCTTCCCTCTTTATACAATGCATGAGCAGTTGCGTCTCTGCTTGATCACATGAGTGCTTCACTACAAGACTGTGTTCCCTTCTCCTCCACTCACAGACCCGCCTGAGAGCCGGCTGGCCGGGGGACAACACGGAGGCAACAAGAAGATGTACTTCGATGTCGGGGATGTGCCCCTGGACCACTCCCTTCTGGGGGCCGAAGTCCGGGTCCATCGTCATGATCTCTACGACGAGCCTCTCAACCTCCATGTTTATATGATCAAGGATGACCAAGGGTAGGTGTGTGTGTGTGTGTGTGTGTGTGTGTGTGTGTGTGTGTGTGTGTGTGTGTGTGTGTGTGTGTGTGTGTGTGTGTGTGTGTGTGTGTGTGTGTGTGTGTGTGTGTGTGTACTCACCTAGTTGTACTCACCTAGTTGTGTCTGCAGGATCGAGCATTGACTCTTGGATCCCGCCTTTCGAGCATCGGTTGTTTACAGCAATGACTCCTGTCCTATTTCCCTATCATACCTGGTTTTAAAATTATGAATAGTATTTGCTTCCACAACCTGTTCCTGAAGTGCATTCCATTTCCCCACTACTCTCACGCTAAAAGAAAACTTCCTAACATCTCTGTGACTCATCTGAGTTTCAAGCTTCCATCCATGTCCTCTCGTTCTGTTACTATTCCGTGTGAACATTTCGTCTATGTCCACTCTGTCAATTCCTCTGAGTATCTTATACGTTCCTATCATGTCCCCCCTCTCCCTTCTTCTTTCTAGTGTCGTAAGGCACAGTTCCCTCAGGCGCTCTTCATACCCCATCCCTCGTAGCTCTGGGACGAGTCTCGTTGCAAACCTCTGAACCTTTTCCAGTTTCATTATATGCTTCTTCAGATGGGGACTCCATGATGAGGCGGCATACTCTAAGACTGGCCTTACGTAGGCAGTGTAAAGCGCCCTAAATGCCTCCTTACTTAGGTTTCTGAATGATGTTCTAACTTTTGCCAGTGTAGAGTACGCTGCTGTCGTTATCCTATTAATATGTGCCTCAGGAGATGTGTGTGTGTGTGTGTGTGTGTGTGTGTGTGTGTGTGTGTGTGTGTGTGTGTGTGTGTGTGTGTGTGTGTGTGTGTGTGTGTGTGTGTGTGTGTGTGTGTGTGTGTGTGTGTGTGTGTGTGTGTGTGTGTGTGTATGGGGTGGGGCTAAGGAGCTAGGCTGGGCCTGGCGGGACTTGCTTGCAAAGGAGCGACCAAATTCTTCCTTGGGTTCCTCCCTCTCAGTTCGATTTCTAATGACTAAAACTGTATAGACTAACTTATGCTAAGTAGGGTTGGGATGGGTTAACTTAGAGTGCCATATGATAGGTTAGGTTAGGTAAGGTTAGTTTAGATTAGGGTTAAATTGGGTTAGGGTTGATTGGGTTGGGTTAGACTAGGTGGGGATGGGTAACGTTACGCCAGGTTAGGACAGGATAAGCTACACTGGTTGAATTTAAGTTAGGCTAGGTTGAGACTGAGCAGATAGGTTGTATAAGGTTACGTAGGCTTTAATACAATCAGTTCCCGTTCAGTCAAATGTACGGAATGACCCATAACCTTTGAACATCAGTTTGAACAAAAGAAACTGCGCAAGACCTGATATTGACCTATACGAGGCAGCTACAACTGTATGCAACCAAACTCGCTCATATATATGTATATATACATGTGTGTAACTTTGCAGGGGAGAGTCAGAGGTGGCGAGGGTGACGCTGCGGGACCCTGGATGGGTGAGCATCAATGTGACTGCTCCAGTTCTCTCCTGGCTCATCTTTCCAAACACCAACTTCGGTCTCCGCCTGGCTGTCACTTCCTTGGACCGCAGTGAGTGTCTCAAGTCTCTTGTCACCTACCTCTTGCACTTCTGTCCTCCTGTGTGTGTGTGTCTGTTGTACTTCTGTATAATGTGGGTCTGTTGTACTTCTGTATAATGTGTGTCTGTTGAACTTCTGTATAATGTGTGTCTGTTGTACTTCTGTATAATGTGGGTCTGTTGTACTTCTGTATAATGTGGGGTATGTTGTACTTCTGTATAATGTGGGGTATGTTGTACTTCTGTATAATGTGGGTCTGTTGTACTTCTGTATAATGTGGGTCTGTTGTACTACTGTAAAATGTGGGTCTGTTGTACTTCTGTATAATGTGGGTCTGTTGTACTTCTGTATAATGTGGGTCTGTTGTACTTCTGTATAATGTGGGTCTGTTGTACTTCTGTATAATGTGGGTCTGTTGTACTTCTGTATAATGTGGGTCTGTTGTACTTCTGTATAATGTGGGTCTGTTGTACTTCTGTATAATGTGGGTCTGTTGTTCTTAAGTATAATGTGGGTCTGTTGTACTTCTGTAAAATGTGGGTCTGTTGTACTACTGTATAATGTGGGTCTGTTGTACTTCTGTATAATGTGGGTCTGTTGTACTTCTGTATAATGTGGGTCTGTTGTACTTCTGTATAATGTGGGTCTGTTGTACTTCTGTAAAATGTGGGTCTGTTGTACTTCTGTATAATGTGGGTCTGTTGTACTTCTGTATAATGTGGGTCTGTTGTACTTCTGTAAAATGTGGGTCTGTTGTACTTCTGTATAATGTGTGTCTGTTGTACTTCTGTATAATGTGGGTCTGTTGTACTTCTGTATAATGTGGGTCTGTTGTACTTCTGTATAATGTGGGTCTGTTGTACTTCTGTATAATGTGGGTCTGTTGTTCTTAAGTATAATGTGGGTCTGTTGTACTTCTGTAAAATGTGGGTCTGTTGTACTTCTGTATAATGTGGGTCTGTTGTACTTCTGTATAATGTGGGTCTGTTGTACTTCTGTATAATGTGGGTCTGTTGTACTTCTGTATAATGTGTGTCTGTTGTACTTCTGTATAATGTGTGTCTGTTGTACTTCTGTAAAATGTGGGTCTGTTGTACTTCTGTAAAATGTGTGTCTGTTGTACTTCTGTAAAATGTGTGTCTGTTGTACTTCTGTATAATGTGGGTCTGTTGTACTACTGTATAATGTGTGTCTGTTGTACTTCTGTATAATGTGTGTCTGTTGAACTTCTGTATAATGTGGGTCTGTTGTACTATTGTAAAATGTGTGTCTGTTGTACTTCTGTATAATGTGGGTCTATTGAACTTCTGTATAATGTGGGTCTGTTGTACTTCTGTATAATGTGTGTCTGTTGTACTTCTGTAAAATGTGTGTCTGTTGTACTTCTGTAAAATGTGTGTCTGTTGTACTTCTGTATAATGTGTGTCTGTTGTACTTCTGTAAAATGTGTGTCTGTTGTACTTCTGTAAAATGTGTGTCTGTTGTACTTCTGTATAATGTGTGTCTGTTGTACTTCTGTAAAATGTGTGTCTGTTGTACTTCTGTAAAATGTGTGTCTGTTGTACTTCTGTATAATGTGTGTCTGTTGTACTTCTGTAAAATGTGTGTCTGTTGTACTTCTGTATAATGTGTGTCTGTTGTACTTCTGTATAATGTGGGTCTGTTGTACTTCTGTATAATGTGTGTCTGTTGTACTTCTGTATAATGTGTGTCTGTTGTACTTCTGTATAATGTGGGTCTGTTGTACTTCTGTATAATGTGGGTCTGTTGTACTTCTGTATAATGTGGGTCTGTTGTACTTCTGTATAATGTGGGTCTGTTGTACTTCTGTATAATGTGTGTCTGTTGTACTTATAAATAAATCAATGTTTATTCAGGTAAGGTACATACATACAAGAGATTTTACAAAAATTTATAGATTTATAGATAGAGCTAGTACATACAGTGCCTAAAGCCACTATTACGCAAAGCGTTTCGGGCAGGAAAAACATTAATGACTAAAACTTAATACTAATTGAGTATAAAGAATAAAATGAGTTGAGAACAAATAAAAATAAAAATGGGGGAACATGGCTGAAAAGCAGCACAAATACAATTTGGTCGACAAACAGTGTTGTTTAAAAAAACAGACATGGGTTGACAATAGAGGGGTAAGGTAGGTTACAGGGAATTTATTAGGTAGTGCTTCGTTATTATCTTAAACTGGTTGAGAGAGGTACAGTCTTTAACATGATTGGGAAGGTCATTCCACATTCTGGGTCCCTTGATTTGTAGAGCATTTCTAGTTTGATTAAGTCGTACTCTTGGAATATCAAAACTGTATTTGTTTCTGGTGTGGTGCTCATGGGTTTTGTTACAACCTTCAATGAAGCTTTTGAGGTCAGGTTTGGCATTACAGTTCAGCGTTTTATATATGTATAATACACATGAGAGAATGTGCAGTGACTTAATATCTAACATATTCAGAGATTTGAGTAGGGGTACCGAGTGATGTCTGGGGACAGACTTGGATATTGTCCTAATAGCAGCTTTGTGTTGAGTAATTAGAGTTGAAAAACATGACTTTGTAGATCAATTGGCCAATGAGGCTTGCAGGAAAGAAAACATTGATTATGATTTTGGACTATCTAATGCAGTTATTAGAAACATACAAATTAAAGAAATTAATTCAGATTTAGAAGAACTAAGAAATGCACAGAGACCTGAAAGCTGCAGTATTAAAAGTTATGACAAGTTCTGTAATAATAGGTATTTGTATGGTCAGCACAGTAACCGGACCAGGCAATGTGATGTAGTAATCGCGCGAATTCGCCTTGGCTATAGACACATCTGGCAGGTTAGTGAGGCTGAGCCACTACCAGAATATTCAGATTGTAAACTCTGTGATAAACCTTTAATGCATTCACTAGAACACTATATTGATGAATGTGAAACCGTAAAGGACTTTAGACCTCCTGGCCTATTGTACCACCAACTGTGTAACTATTTTATTGACTCAGGTGTTCTGGACGACATCCTAACAATTTACCCAAAATTTGCTTGTCCATTTTAAAGAATGAAGAACAATTTCTACTTATATTCTAAGCTGTATCACTTATGAACCCATCCCTGCACTTGTGTGGCAGTGCACAATAGAAAGTTGTTTTCACATATCCACACATTAAAACATTGATTGTAACCGTGATATATATGTGCTTCAGCCTACAGTTTAGGCCTATTGTCTTATGTATGACCCTCTGTCCTGCGTGACAGTGAATACTAGCATTAACCTCAATTTAATAAGACTATCAAAATCCTCAGATTAGGCAAAATTGTAATTAATTTTGTCAATAAAGATGTTAATAATAATAAAGTAATTAGAGGACGTAAATGATTGTCTGTTGCACTTTTGTCTTTCATGTATAATTTGTACTTCTGTCTTTTTGTGCCTTGCAGTTCTATAGTTACATTTCTGCCGTTATGTGTACATATTGCACTTTTGCCGTTGTGTGTATATGTTACATTTCTGCTGCTGTTTTTAACTGTTACACTTCTACCGCAATGTGTAGACATAAGCACGTGTGCGCTTATGTGTATATGTTACACATTTGTCGTTATGTTTATATGATGCGCTTCTGCCATTACGTGTACATGCTTTCTAATTTGTTTTTCTGGTACATTTTCCCAAAGTCCACTCCGTTCTTCGCCTGGCTCACTTCAATGGATCACAGGCCACATTTCGGAACTCCTGGTTATGCTATTTCTTTACTTGTTAACATATCTCTGTCAAATATTCCTTTTCTGTACATAACATTATAAACACCATATCTGATGTTTGTCCCGTGGCTATCTCATTAGGGTACAGCAAGCATCTGGGTTGTATTTATTTTCCATGTTACGTGTCTGTTATCATTCTGTGCTGGTGTTTGTTATCGATTTCTCATGCTCATTCCCTCCTGTATTTGCCACAGTTGTTTCATCGATTCTTTGAGGATGTAGGGTATCAGAATATCACAAATTATGTAGAAGCGAATAATCCTCAAAGGAACGATATCCACTTTGGCTTCCACCACAACAATGCCCTAATCTTGTGTTCTGTTATGTTTCATAAAAGAACACGAACGTCGCTTCCACGAGGTGGGTGTGTCGGGCGCGAAGGACGAAGAGGCTTACCGTCCCTTCATGGTCGGGTTCTTCGCCTTGCCGTCGTCATCCTACAAGAAGAAGAGGATCCGAACCACCAGGTCCGTCTCCGCGCCGCCCAGAAGCCAACAGAGAAGTTATCGAGGTAGGCACCAGTCCTTCGGTTTGAGTGCGCGTGTGTTTGTGTGCGTGTGTTTGTGTGAGTGCGTTTGTGTCCTTGTTTGCGAATGTGTGCATGTGCTCATTACAGGTACTAGTTTGATATTATTTGACTTTTTTGTGCAGCTGTGCCCAGTTGCTAGCTGTTAGTTGTTAGCTAACAATTGCATCATATGGTTCACACCATATATTGTTAGATTGACATTAAAGTAGATTTTTGAGTGACTCGCTTCCTCCTGCGAGAGACATTCAAGTCAGGTCATTCGGTATACAAATGTTTGTGTTCCTCGTCACACCAGTGGCTCCTTCACCCACATGCTGTCGTCCTTCTCAGACATCGCGGACAGGCCCCACACGTCGGATACGGACTGCAGGATGAAACACCTTCACGTATCCTTCAGGGACCTGGGCTGGGAGAACTGGGTCATCGCTCCTGAAGGCTACGACGCCAACTACTGCGAGGGCCACTGCAAGTTTCCCCTGCAGGCGGAGCTCAACGCCACTAACCACGCCCTCGTGCAGACACTGGTGAAGGTGGTAGGCGGGGTCGCCGAGGACCAAGAGGTGCCTCCCAACGCCTGCTGTGCACCCATCGATCTCGCTACCATACCTGTACTCTACTATTCCTACGAGAACAACATTGTCTTGAAGAAGTATCCAAAGATGATTGTGAAGACTTGTGGATGCCTTTAGGTCCTGTCGAAGGACTGGATGTACATGCATTTATTGTAGCTTATTATTGTGAGAATGATATAATTCATTTCTTGTGAGTAACCCAAACCGCATATTTGAAATAACATGAAAGTAAGGAGGTTTCGATTCGTCCTGGATGCTTGTCCGTTCATGTCTAACTGATAAGTGTACAGGAAGGGCCGGAACGTCGTCACTTTTATTTCATTTGTTTTTTGTTGGGTCATATATGTGTATGTGGGGGTTGCATCATGTGTGCAGGGTCATATATGTGTATGTGGGGGTTGCATCATGTGTGCAGGGTCATATATGTGTATGTGGGGGTTGCATCATGTGTGCAGGGTCATATATGTGTATGTGGGGGTTGCATCATGTGTGCAGGGTCATATATGTGTATATGGGGGTTGCATCATGTGTGCAGGGTCATATATGTGTATGTGGGGGTTGCATCATGTGTGCAGGGTCATATATGTGTATGTGGGGGTTGCATCATGTGTGCAGGGTCATATATGTGTATGTGGGGGTTGCATCATGTGTGCAGGCTGCCTCATATGTTTTTGTTGGGTAATTTGTTTTTATCTACGTTATTATGACCCGTTTTCCGCAGTTTGCGTCTTGTTCCAACACAATCATAAAGCGCCCAACGACAGTTTTGGTAATAGTGTGGAAGAACACCAATTGTTAGTGACGACATGACTGCATCTTATGTACAAGGACAACAATGTCAAGGCATAAACAGGGACAATCAGCAAGCATGAACTATGCCACATTGTTGGGGCAAGTCTTGTCTAGAATGATTACCAGCAAAAGGATTAATACAGTGTCTAGAGGATTAATATAATTAATACATTGTCTAGAGGATTAATATAGCCACTTGAAGACGTATGTGTCCGTCTTATTGATGTGGGACAAAGTTTATATCCCGTAATATTGGCCCCCAAGGTAAATTTTAGTTGAAGTTGCCTATAACGTTAAGTAATCGTAAAACCTTTAATTGATTATTAAAATAATATATGTCCTGCCAGAAAGAATATGTGTAAAATCAAGTCTTGTTCATCTGTTATGGTAGAACAACTTTCCCAAGAAATATTCCTCGGCTTAGAACCAAGTTAGGTGAATAGGCACCAGCTTAATAGTAAATTAAAAAGACTGAAAACAAACTTTATCCTGAATCTAATGCTGGAAAATATCAGCATATCGTAGCATACTGAAGAGCAGCTTATGTTTATTGCCTTAAGAAAGCTTCCATCTTCAGGGGATCAGCTTTGTCAACATTCTCTAGATGATGAATACAGATTCTAAGTGGCTTTTGTATTTATAAAAACCAACACCGCACTTCAGAATCTATGTGAAGCTCTATTACAGCACCACATAGCTCATGTGGTCTTCACTAGAGCACCACATAACCTATGTGAGGCCACACTAGAGCACCACCTAACCCATGTATGGGCCACACTAGAGCACCACATAACCCATGTGAGGCCACACTAGAGCACCACATAACCCATGTATGGGCCACACTAGAGCACCACATAACCCAAGTGAGGCCACACTAGAGCACCACCTAACCCAAGTGTGGCCACACTAGAGCACCACATAACCCATGTGTGGCCACAATAGAGCACCACATAACCCAAGTGAGGCCACACTAGAGCACCACATAACCCAAGTGAGGCCACACTAGAGCACCACCTAACCCAAGTGAGGCCACACTAGAGCACCACCTAACCCAAGTGAGGCCACACTAGAGCACCACCTAACCCAAGTGAGGCCACAGTAGAGCATTAAATAACCCAAGTGAGGCCACACTAGAGCACCACCTAACCCAAGTGAGGCCACACTAGAGCACCACCTAACCCAAGTGAGGCCACAGTAGAGCATTAAATAACCCAAGTGAGGCCACACTAGAGCACTAAATAACCCAAGTGAGGCCACACTAGAGCACCACATAACCCATGCGTGGCCACACTAGAGCACCACATAACCCATGCGTGGCCACACTAGAGCACCACATAACCCATGCGTGGCCACACTAGAGCACCACATAACCCATGCGTGGCCACACTAGAGCACCACATAACCCATGCGTGGCCACACTAGAGCACCACATAACCCATGTGAGGCCACACTAGAGCACCACATAACCCATGCGTGGCCACACTAGAGCACTAAATAACCCATGTGTGGCCACACTAGAGCACCACATAACCCATGCGTGGCCACACTAGAGCACCACATAACCCATGTGTGGCCACACTAGAGCACCACATAACCCATGTGAGGCCACACTAGAGCACCACATAACCCATGCGTGGCCACACTAGAGCACCACATAACCCATGTGAGGCCACACTAGAGCACCACATAACCCATGTGAGGCCACACTAGAGCACCACATAACCCATGTGTGGCCACACTAGAGCACCACATAACCCATGTGTGGCCACACTTGAGCACCATATAACCCATGTGAGGCCACACTAGAGCACCATATAACCCATGTGAGGCCACACTAGAGCACCACATAACCCATGTGTGGCCACACTAGAGCACCACATAACCCATGTGAGGTCACACAAGAGCACCTCATAACCCATTCCAGGCTTCAGTAGAGCACCGCAAATGCAAATGAGGCTTCCACAAAGCACCACATAACGCATACGAGGCTACAGTATAGTGCAACATAACCAACATAAGGCTTGATTCGAGCACAGTATAACCCAGATGAAGCTTCACTAATATGCCACATAACCATATGAGTGTGTGTGTGTGTGTGTGTGTGTGTGTGTGTGTGTGTGTGTGTGTGTGTGTGTGTGTGTGTGTGTGTGTGTGTGTGTGTGTGTGTGTGTGTGTGTGTGTGTGTGTGTGTGTGTGTGTGTGTGTGTGTGTGTGTGTGTGTGTGAGTGTGTGTTACCACAAAGAAGTTAGTTAACTCGTGATGAATAATGTGATGGATGATGTGTTGATTAACTCGAAAGCGCTCAAGTAATTCTGGGGATCTCCTATAATATATATATATATATATATATATATATATATATATATATATATATATATATATATATATATATATATATATATATATATATATATATATATATATATATATTGTTATTTCAGTATATGATGCTAATAATATATGTGAAGCAAATCATTTATTTAAATAAATTTAGAATAAACTGAAACATGTATGATATTCCAATTCAATTATCTGGAAAGCAAATACAGTGAAACATTAATACAAAAGTAGTGTCACTGAATAACAATGACATGATGGCAACAGTGAATTAGTCACACAGTGAAACCTTTCTGTCACTGTAACAGAATACTACAGCACCATACTGCTGTAACTCCATCCTTCCTACGGCAACATTCCTAAATGATATACGAGCAGGTATGACTCAAAAAGTTGCGGGGATTGAGCTCTGGCTCTTTGGTCCCGCCTCTCAACTGTCAATCAACTGTGTGTGTGTGTGTGTGTGTGTGTGTGTGTGTGTGTGTGTGTGTGTGTGCGTGCGCACGCGTGTGAGTGTGTGTAAGTTGGTCAGAATAGCATTTCACCTTCGTCGACAAACATTAATCACATTACGTGTAAAACAACATACCTCGAACCACAGTTCAAGCATCAAAAACATAACTCTATATATTTATCATGTCTGGAGGTTAGCATTGTAAAAACACTACAGCCACTTTCAGTGGTTGATTGCTCAATAAATCACCGACTTGTATATACCTAACCAGCTCTCTATCCCGATCCATGGAGGACAGAAGGAAAAAAAATACATATATATATATATATATATATATATATATATATATATATATATATATATATATATATATATATATATATATATATATATATATATATATATATATATATATATATATGTCGTACCTAGTAGCCAGAACGCAATTCTCAGCCTACTATGCAAGGCCCGATTTGCCTAATAAGCCAAGTTTTCATGAACTAATTGTTTTTCGACGACCTAACCTACCTAACCTAACCTAACCTAACTTTTTTGGCTACCTAACCTAACCTAACCTATAAAGATAGGTTAGGTTAGGTTAGGTAGGGTTGGTTAGGTTCAGTCATATATCTACGTTAATTTTAACTCCAATAAAAAAAATTGACCTCATACATAATGAAATGGGTAGCTTTATCATTTCATAAGAAAAAAATTAGAGAAAATATATTTATTCAGGAAAACTTGGTTCATTAGGCAAATCGGGCCTTGCATAATAGGCTGAGAAGTGTGTTCTGGCTACTAGGTACGACATATATATATATATATATATATATGTCGTACCTAATAGCCAGAACGCACTTCTCAGCCTACTATTCAAGGCCCGATTTGCCTAATAAGCCAAGTTTTCATGAATTAATGTTTTTTCGTCTACCTAACCTACCTAACCTAACCTAACCTAGCTTTTTTTGGCTACCTAACCTAACCTTACCTATAAATATAGGTTAGGTTAGGTTAGGTAGGGTTGGTTAGGTTCGGTCATATATCTACGTTAATTTTAACTCCAATAAAAAAATTGACCTCATACATAGAGAAAAGGGTTGCTTTATCATTTCATAAGAAAAAAATTATAGTAAATATATTAATTCAGGAAAACTTGGCTTATTAGGCAAATCGGGCCTTGAATAGTAGGCTGAGAAGTGAGTTCTGGCTACTAGGTACGACATATATATATATATATATATATATATATATATATATATATATATGTCGTACCTAGTAGCCAGAACTCACTTCTCAGCCTACTATTCAAGGCCCGATTTGCCTAATAAGCCAAGTTTTCCTGAATTAATATATTTACTATAATTTTTTTCTTATGAAATGATAAAGCTACCCTTTTCACTATGTATGAGGTCAATTTTTTTTATTTTAGTTAAAATTAACGTAGATATATGACCGAACCTAACCAACCCTACCTAACCTAACCTAACCTATATATATAGGTTAGGTTAGGTTAGGTAGCCGAAAAAGTTAGGTTAGGTTTGGTTAGGTTGGTTAGGTAGACGAAAAACAATTAATTCATGAAAACTTGGCTTATTAGGCAAATCGGGCCTTGCATAGTAGGCTGAGAAGTGAGTTCTGGCTACTAGGTACGACATATATATATATATATATATATATATATATATATATATACAATGGTATATATATACCATTGTATATATATACAATGTATATATATAGCTAGGTCTGTGGTATAACTGCTCGTGGGAGGAGGAGGATTAGTTCCTTATAATAGCAAATACAACAAACTCTAAAACGCTTCCACTTCATCGACTGATCCCTCTATCTCTCTCTCCATCTCTAATTAACCTGATTCCGCGTCTGTTTACCGTCAGTCATTCTGTCACGTCTGTCAATCCGATGGTGGTGTCGTCCAACAATGGGGGGCTCAAAGCATCCCACATCTGTCTATGGTCAATGTCTCTCTTCCTTCTGTCTATAGTCGCCGTCTATCTTCATTCTGTCTATTCAATCTATTGTGATGTTGTCTGCAAATTCCGTAACCGATAGTATAATAATACAATGATATAGGGTTCAGTCTTATAGATCTACATTAATACAGTGATACGATAATACAGTAATTCAGAGATACAGTAATACATGATGTACTATTTAAGTGCTACAGTACTAATACATTAATACAATATTACAGTGCAGTGATACAGTGACTGGCAGGAAAGCCTTGCTACATCTATACAATAATAGAATAATTATGTGATACAGTAATGTTGTGATACAGCAAGATTGTAATACAATAATACAGTAGTGTAGTGATACAGTAATACAGAAGTGTAGTGAAACAGTAATACATTATTGTAGTGATACAGTAATACAATAATGTAGTAATACAGAAATTTATTGATACAACAATTTATTACTGTAATACATTAATACATGCAGAGCAATACATACAGTAATGTATTGATACAGTAATGAAAATATATAGTTATGTTGCGATACAGCAAGGTAGTGATACAACATTACAGGAATGCAGTGATACAGTAATGTTCTGATAGAGCAAGGTAGTGATACAGTAATGTTCTGATAGAGCAAGGTAGTGATACAGTAATGTTCTGATAGAGCAAGGTAGTGATACAGTAATGTTCTGATACAGCAAGGTAGTGATACAGTAATGTTCTGATACAGCAAGGTAGTGATACAGTAATGTTCTGATACAGCAAGGTAGTGATACAGTAATGTTCTGATACAGCAAGGTAGTGATACAGTAATGTTCTGATAGAGCAAGGTAGTGATACAGTAATGTTCTGATAGAGCAAGGTAGTGATACAGTAATGTTCTGATAGAGCAAGGTAGTGATACAGTAATGTTCTGATACAGCAAGGTAGTGATACAGTAATGTTCTGATAGAGCAAGGTAGTGATACAGTAATGTTCTGATACAGCAAGGTAGTGATACAGTAATGTTCTGATACAGCAAGGTAGTGATACAGTAATGTTCTGATACAGCAAGGTAGTGATACAGTAATGTTCTGATAGAGCAAGGTAGTGATACAGTAATGTTCTGATAGAGCAAGGTAGTGATACAGTAATGTTCTGATACAGCAAGGTAGTGATACAGTAATGTTCTGATAGAGCAAGGTAGTGATACAGTAATACAATGAAGTAGTGATACAGTAATACAATAATGTAGTGATACAGTAATATATTACTGTAATACATTAATAGATGTACAGTAATACATCCAGTAATGTAGTGATACAGTAATATTATAATACAGTAATATTGTGCTACATTTATGTTGTCATATAGTAAGTTAGTGATACAGTAATACAATAATGCAGTGATACAATTTTGTAATAATTCAGTAAATTAGTGATGCAACAAGGTAGTGATACATAAATGTAGTGATACAGTATTGTAATGATATAGAAATAAAGCGATACAGTAACGTAGAAATGCAGTATTACAGAGATACATTAATGAATTGTTAAAGAATACAGATATTCTGAAATATAGCGATAGATCAATTAAAGCTTGCATTTACATGTATGGGATTTAAGCTGAACTGAAGCAGATTGTAGCAGTAAACAGTTATACGTATGAGCCATGAGCTGAACTGAACCAATGTTACTGTTTAGAAACAGAAGGATTGGACATAATCTAGATTTTTTACACATCAAATTAGGGGAGAAACATGAATCCAGAAGAAGCTCTTCTGAGAGGTGTCTCGGGAGGTATCAGCTATTGTGCTGTTCCACACGACTCAACTCTCATCTGTGTCGTCTTAGCCTGAAGGTGAAGCAGTTGTTTCCACAGCATAGAGAGGATCGAACCATTCCATGCCATTTGGTATGACCCAGAGCTGAAACTGGCTGACACCTATGGCGTCGAATGCAGGGGACCCCGTAAACCAAAAGAAGTTTGAATTGTATCCGCTTCCCGGGACGCAGGTGGTGGAGTTCGTCGGGTAGAAGATGGGGCAGCTGGAGTTGAAGGCCACTGGCAGGTTCACGAAGGGCGCCTCCCAGTAGTTGCCAGCATTGCCGCCCAGGTAGGACCCGACGGAGATTTTGTCGAGTCCCGCGTAGGTGAAGTTGTCGAAGTAGGAGTAGAGGACACTGGCGTCTTGGTAGACGACGACCAGCCGGAGGACCAGCGATGTGTTCAAAAGTAGTGGATACACGTTGAATTTGGGCGGCTGGGTGATGTTGAAGTAACCCCAGATCATCTGCCAGCCTTTATCACAGGGGACGTACAGCGACGTGGCCAGTTGTGGGTCCGACCACACTGCGGTTACTTTCGTTCTGTTGTAAAGTTGTTCAGCCCAGCAATAGAAGGCACAGTCGATGCACTTCGGGCCTCGACAGCTGGGTCTGCCACACTGCCAGCAGTTGGTGTTGTTACCGCTGCTGCACGAGCTGTAGCAGCTGTTGTAGGGTTGTGGCAAGCTCCCGTTCCTGACGTCATACGATCGTAAGCCCGTTACGTTGTACAAGGGTTGCCCGGGATCAGCGCAGCGGTTGAATGAGGTCCAGTAGCAGATGGCGTCGGCTTTGTTGAAAACAAAGGAGTTACACTTAGCGTTCCTAACACACTGGTACTGACACCACAGCAGCGCCTCCTGCTCACTCATTCCTGCAATCAGAGTTGCCACAACAACCTTGTAATTTAAATTAAAATGCAACACGAGACGCCCAATATGTAACGATAACAAATACTTATAAAATCAAACTTTTTGAGAAATATATTACCAAAGCTGCCGGATCGTCTCTCTCACCTGCAGGCAGCTTGATTCTATTGCTTGCATACAACCACTTTCCAACCGCAGCGTTATTGTAGGCTCTGTCAGTGACGCCGAAGTGTCCCGTCTTGTTGACGTAGTCGGTAGAGAGTCCGAGACCCGTCCAATAGAGACAGGCACAGCACAGGATACCCACGCGACACAGCATTCTTCACGGCCTTCAGATACTATAGGATCCTCTTCCTTCACAAGGATCGTTCCTGATCCTTAGGTTGTCCTTTCCCCTATAATTTTTATTTCATCTGGCAAAGGAGACAAGTCATTCGCATCACTTCGAATATAGAAGATGGTAACAAATTAATTACTATACAAGAAATAGGAGTCATTTCTTGCAGAGTAAGAAATGACTAGTACTGCCTATGCTACATCCAGATCGACTGGCTCTTAACTCTTTCAACAATGACTCAGAATAGACTTGCAAATACTATATTGGACTAAAAACAGCACCTTTCTTAGACTCCACTTTTAGTGGAAATATTCACAGAAAACATTACTACATTTCATAGATAATTTGCATACTTAATTAGAAATATAAAGATGACAGGATATTTGTGTTAAGCAATTACCTAGAGCTTCAAGAAGGGAGAGGTGGAAAAGAGCTTCAAGAAGGGAAAGGTGGAAAAGAGCTTCAGGAAGGGGCAGTGGGAGAGACCGTCACTCACACCTAACTCCTTGACTAATTTATCGCATTATTTAAGCAATCACCTAACACGTTACAAATGCGACGTATCTGCAAAAACTACAGCACCGTAATATTGACGGTTTCCATACATCGGCCTCAAAGGGGGTTGGAGGGTTGTTTGGGTTAGTACGCTTCTGGTTACGCAAAACAGTTCCATTTGTCACGAAGTGTCAAATAATGGTAACACAGTCTGCTCGATCACAGACTATACAGAATGATGACCGTTCGTATCCCAGGAGCTGGAGCTTGGCCTCCACAAACAACACCATAAAAAAGAAAATATTTCACCAACCAGACATAGCATACTAAAGGTATGCTATGATAGGTATGACAGTCTATTTTCCAGGTAAAGCTGGACCTTCTGTCCCCAGATCTCTCCCACTCTGGCGATATACCAAGCATATTCTCTCCCTGGGGAACATATCTACCTCATACTCAGCCATAACTCTTTCCACTACAATAATAATAATAAAAAAAAACAGCTGAATAGGAGTTTTAAATTCGTTTGCTAAAGTGAAAATAGCTCCAAGGTGTTTGTACTCACCTAAGAGCTCCTGAGGGAGGGAGTCGAACTGAAGCTCAAGTCCCAGACGATGGATGGGACTTCAGACTGCTCAGCCCACTCTGCTCTGACACGTCATCTGACGTGGACTTTGAAGTCTGATTTCAAGACATTATTCGTTAGTTCCTTCCCTTTAACTCCTACTCTGACGCTGGTAATATTATACCTGATATCAAGCCACGCATATCAGACGACGAGTCACATTATCGTGGCTGAAGATAAGATGACCAGACCACACATCAGAAAGGGGGTGAAACGACGACGTTTTGGTCCGTCCTGGACCGTGTGGATTAAGCCACACGGCTTGATAATGGTCCACGATGGACCGAAACGTCGTCATTTCATCCCTTCTAATGTGTAGTTTGGTCATCAATCAACACACTGCTGTAGCTGCCTCTTCTACGACCTCTAGGTCTGGGAATGTCCTCACGACGACGCCTCTAGTGGTTTTCTTACTTTGGTGTCAGTCCTGCCATTCTCTGTGTGATCTGGTTCTCTTTTATGATGACCTGATTTACTTGTTCATTTACCGATATCTTCCGCTCCCCCCCCCCTCCTTCGTGTGACTGCATATTAGTGCGGGTTGCCCTTCTATCTTGAGGTTATCTTGAGATGGTTTCGGGGCTTTTTAGTGTCCCCCGCGGCCCAGTCCTCGACCAGATCTCCACCCCCAGGAAGCAGCCCGTGACAGCTGACTAACACCCAGGTACCTATTTTACTGCTAGGTAACAGGGGCATAGGGTGAAAGAAACTCTGCCTATTGTTTCTCGCCGGCGCCCGGGTATCGAACCCGGGACCACAGGATCACAAGTCCAGCGTGCTGTCCGCTCGGCCGACCAGCTCCCCTTGGGTGCTATATTGTTCTCATACTCCTTCTCTGCTGATCTTTGAATTCCTGGGTATTGATTCCTCCCTTCAGTACATATTTTGTATTTCTCGTCTCTTCTATGCTCGCTGTGTTTATTCCATTTTCTTTTACTTCTCCATTTTGCCTTAAAATATTGTCTGATTAACCAAAGGTTTTTTTTTTGTTTTTTATCTTGGCGTCGTTCTCCCTTGGAGGGTAGAAATTTTCCATACAATTATAAATAAATAAAAATAAAAATAAACAAATAAATATAAAAAATAATTAATAAATTCCGTTTCCACATATATAAGGTATTAAGCCCATTATGTCTTGTGTTGGTTTGTTTCTGTTCTGATTCTCTTTTCTTCTAATTCTTAGAATTAGAAGAAAAATTCTTCTAATTTTTCTTTAGTGAGCTCGTCTTTACATTGTCAATATTTCAAAGTTCTCAGTATTCTACAACTTTGAGAGAGAGAGAGAGAGAGAGAGAGAGAGAGAGAGAGAGAGAGAGAGAGAGAGAGAGAGAGAGAGAGAGAGAGAGAGAGAGAGAGAGAGAGAGAGAGAGAGAGAGAGAGAGAGAGAGAGAGAGAGAGAGAGAGAGAGAGAGAGAGAGAGAGAGAGAGAGAGAGAGAGAGAGAGAGAGAGAGAGAGAGAGAGAGAGAGAGAGAGAGAGAGAGAGAGAGAGAGAGAGAGAGAGAGAGAGAGAGAGAGAGAGAGAGAGAGAGAGAGAGAGAGAGAGAGAGAGAGAGAGAGAGAGAGAGAGAGAGAGAGAGAGAGAGAGAGAGAGAGAGAGAGAGAGAGAGAGAGAGAGAGAGAGAGAGAGAGAGAGAGAGAGAGAGAGAGAGAGAGAGAGAGAGAGAGAGGGAGAGAGAGAGAGAGAGAGAGAGAGAGAGAGACAGACAGACAGAGACAAACATTCGTTACTAACTTAATATTACATAACATAACTTCATTTGAATTAAGTTTCGGCTCAGATCGCCTTAAATAGCTTTTTACTGACAGTTTCTCCCGTTTAAGTCAATATTATGTACAGTCTCGCCAGTCTGGAACTCCAGTACTAACCTTGCTCCCCCTGGCGGTGTGCTCCTGGTGCGCTGGAGAGACTGTAACTGATGTGGTGTGGCTCCCACTTACTGCTCACTGTCGGGCTTTTCCCCAGAGGGTCTCTGTCCACTGCTGGCTCTCACCTCTCCCTCACCACCCTCCCTCACCTCTCCCTCACCACCCTCCCTCACCTCTCCCTCACCACCCTCCCTCATCTCTCCCTCACCTCTCCCTCATACATACGTTTCACCACTACTGAATACCAAGTTCCATTACAAATGGTTTGTCCTCTGTCTGTCTGTCTGTCTGTCTGTCTCTCTCTCTCTCTCTCTCTCTCTCTCTCTCTCTCTCTCTCTCTCTCTTTCTCTCCCACAAGTCACTCCACACATACACCATCACAGACACACACCCACACACACACACATACACACACACACGTAGGGGCCCTCTCGGGACGCAACGGGGTTCTTACTCTGATGTTGTTAGAGGAAATTGTATCCGGCCCCAAGCCAGTAGTGGCTTTCAAGGGATGAGATCCGTGACGCAAGTAACTTAAAGGGGAAGGGAAATAAAGTCAAGAACTTAATATAATATATTGACCACCACCAATAAATAATGTATAAAAAGATTACACGGGGGAGGGGTATTAACACTGTACACAAACGTCTTCTCCTGAAGACTCTGGATCCAAGCTCTCGGTGCTTTCGTGGCCTCACAATGAATCCTTTGAGAAGCTGAGCCTACCCTGGCCACAGGTCAGCCAAAACACAGGTCCACTGGGGGCACCGCCGTGGAGGCCATCAACCACAAGTCCAGCAGGTCTGCTGGCAGGTTCCGGATCAGCAACGCTGGTCAGGCCACTCCACGAACGATATTAGGGTAACGCCCTAGACAGGAGCCTCGTGTGATACCACAAATCACTCTCCTGTCCTCAATACCCCAGTGGATAATCGTCTCCAGCAGTCGGTCCCGGGCAATCCTTCTACTGCCACTCCACTGGCAGGGTAACACCACAGTGTTCTTCCGGGGGACGACTTCACAGCTGCTGCAGCAAAGCACAAGGTATGGAGACGGCTGCCTTGGGTAGACTGACTCAACTTCCATCACAGCAGTCCCAGGTCGACTCTGTAAGCAGACACGTCATCAATAACAGGGACACACTAAAACACCTCACTTACAGGCTCAGGCACAAACGCCCACCTATCCACTCCATAGATGGCGCAGTTGTCTGAGCTTCACCTCACCAGAGGTCAGCGGCGGCGGTGTTGAGCGCTAAACAGGACTGGAAACTGGCCCTCGTAGCCAGTACACGTCGTCCTCACCGTGTCGTCGTCCATTTGGTGGGGGTTTCGGGAGCTGACCCACAGATGGCGCGGTCGTCACTGCTCCGTGCTCGGACGCTGGATCCGGATTCGTAACACCTGGTGTAGGGGCCTGATAGCCTGGTGGATAGCGCGCAGGACTCGTAATTCTGTGGCGCGGGTTCGATTCCCGCACCAGGCAGAAACAAATGGGCAAAGTTTCTTTCACCCTGAATGCCCACGTTACCTAGCAAATACTTATTTACTTACCTAGTAAATAGATACCTGGGAGTTAGTCAGCTGTCACGGGCTGCTTCCTGGGGTGTGTGTGTGTGTGTGTGGAAAAATAAAGCAGTTAGTAAACAGTTGATTGACAGTTGAGAGACGGGCCGAAAGAGCAAAGCTCAACCCCCGCAAACACAACTAGGTGCATACACACACACAAAGAGACCAAAGAGTGACCAAACAGCCAGAGCTCAACCCCCCCCCCGCAAGCACAATTAGGTGAGTACATACACACACACACACACACACACACACACACACACACACACACACACACTTTGTGAGAGACACCGTAGCTTGTAAACAGAAAAGTACATATGGCTTGCAAACTTGATTGCGGTTTCAAGCTAAACTGTATTTGACAGGAGAGAGAGAGAAGAAGGGTTGGCCTAGATTTTCTTACATTCTTTGAAAGGAACCCAAATTATGTAGTTAGCATAGCAAACTTTTCAGCACCATGCAGTACCTAACTGCTG